CCCCCCTCCCCTCGCGTTGATTTTTTCCCCCTCCCCTCAGGCAAAGAGAAGAAACGCTTCACGCTCGTTCTGGCTGTCATGGCGAACGGCAAAAAGGTTTCGCCGCGCATCATCTTCAAGGGCACGCCATTCATCCCCTCGACCGTGAGCGGCAAAGGCAAGAGCACCCTGCCGCGGAAGAACTCCGTCGCGTGGGAGATCCATCCTGCAAAACCGCGCCAAGCACGACCACCCTGCCAACGGTATGTCCTTCGGCGTGCAGGAGAAGAGCTTGAGTGACCAGCGGGAGTGCAGCGGGTGGATCTCGGGCAGCTGGAAGCTCCGTCCCAACAACGGCAGCATCGTCCAGCAGCGCCCGTGCATCCTGGTGCTGGACGACTTCAAGTTCCACAAGGACGAGGGTTTCATCGCCGCCCTCAAGAGAGACGCCAACACCATCGTCATCTTCATCCCAGGCGGGTTGACGCCCTTGCNGTCGCAGACGCCCGGTCGGGGAAGCTGAAGCCACCGGAGCGTGGGGTCGTCTCTACGTGGTGCAAGGAAGCGTGGGAGTCCATCACCCCCGAGACGGTGAAGACTTGCTTCAAGACCTTCGGGTCACGCTTGCACTCGACGGCAGCGAAGACCACGTCTGGTGCGAGCAAAATTTCGGGGAAGACTACCGCGACCTTCTCGAGGAGCAGCACGCCGTGTGGCTCGCTGAGCACCCCGACGTGACTCTCCCGCCGCTCAAGCTGCCGAAGGTACCAGGGGGGTTCGACTCCAACCCCATCACGGCTGCTCAGAAGGAGGTCGAGGGGAAGCTGCTGCCCTACGTCGCTGATGAGAGCGACAGCGAGGTGGACGTCTTGGAGGGCGACAGCGACGTGGAAGTCGTGGAGGGGTAGGGGGGCGGGGGCGCCGAAGGAAAAGTAGTCGAACTTTGAATCATAGTTCTTTGGGATTGCCAGTGAGATTGGATGTTTTTGCGATGGTAGGGGCGCGGGCACGAAGTAGAGTTCAACCCGCCTAGGAAGTACAGTAGTAGGACGTTGGTAGCTCGTAGTGGTAGTTTGGTGTGATTTTTTACTTCGTTTTTGTTTTCATCTGCGTTTAGAATTGTTGAATGGATGCCGTTTGCCGATTTGCCGATCTTGATTCTTCAGAACGAAAAAAAGATACCTAACAAAGAGTACAAATACCACATTTTTGAACATCGTCATGGTGCCAAGGGCAACAGTAGCCTTGGAGCACGCGATTCAAGTTCCTATNCGTTGGTAGCTCGTAGTGGTAGTTTGGTGTGATTTTTTACTTCGTTTTTGTTTTCATCTGCGTTTAGAATTGTTGAATGGATGCCGTTTGCCGATTTGCCGATCTTGATTCTTCAGAACGAAAAAAAGATACCTAACAAAGAGTACAAATACCACATTTTTGAACATCGTCATGGTGCCAAGGGCAACAGTAGCCTTGGAGCACGCGATTCAAGTTCCTATAGTATCCGGAATTTCCAGCACAAGATGCTGGTGAAAGGGTATCACTTACCGCCAAACCTCACCGCATTTATCGGCGTCTCCGTACAGTGTGTGGAGACGACGATACCTGTGACATCATCTAGCAAATCATTCGGAACCAGCTTTTTTTCCGCACACCCTGTGCCAAGACCCCGATATGTGCCAGGACCCCGATGATTACGGAGACCCCGATGATTACGGAGACCCCGATATTCCATGGGTACTTGGCGCATGCAAACGTTGATGACACGCCACCAGCGCTCCGCTTACAGACAGCAGGAGGGAATGGACGTCGGTGTATAGTGAAAACCGATAAATATCGGGGAAGAGTGCGCTCAACGGTCGGTAAAAATGTAGTGTCGAGTGTTAAGCCCTCGCGTGCGTCAAATCGAGATTCTCGACAAGGTTCTTCGTTTTTGTGTGTCGATACAAGGCGGCGGGCAACTTGGGCAAATAAATGCATGCTAAAGTAGGTGTGCGGTAGGGTCGTACTGTAAAGATCGATTTTTCTCGACAACCAAAAGGGTGCGAGGAAAGCTTTTGACAGAGACCATTCCAACACCACCATTGTCGGCATTCACCGTCTCTTTGTGGAGCAGTCGAGCTTTTAGCATCGATTGGATCGCACACACACCCACACGTGTACGTATGCCCGTACTTGGACGTACATGTGCGCGCATGCATGCGCGAGAGCGTTTTTTCGCAAATGTTGTATGCTTTGCCCGTGAGGTACTCGTACGGCAGGACTCGTACGGCAGGCAGCGTAGTCACATACCGCCATCACGCGAGAGTGTTTTTTTGGTTAGTGTAGTTCCAACAACTGAAAGGCGCGAGCACACGCAGTGCCGAACCGCGTAGGGATTTCTTGTACGATGATTACGATCAGGTCGCCGTTAATCGCCAAAAGTACACCAGTCCGTCGACGCACGCATCTTACATCAACCACCTCGCCCGTCTGGCACACACAATATTTGGAGCACAAAATTGCCGAGCTCAGCGCTACCGACCAAAACTTTACATGTAGGATCCAGTCACGTGCGTATGTCAGCGAGTGGAAGAATCTTCGTGCGATGCTTCGAGCGCTAAGTACGGGCAGCACATACCGCCTTGCTTGCGCAGAAGAAAAAAAACATCTATCGTACCACTCTACTTGAAGCTCACGGGTTCGCAGGATATCGGATCCCTTGTTGCGAGCTCTTTTCCCGCATGCACGCCCTGTGGTTGCACGTCCTTCGGTGCCACCAAACAACCCTCCGTCCTTGCAGATGTACATAGTCTAGCCCGTTTGTCGATGACGATGGCGGGACACCGTGACCGCCTCTGTGTCTAACGAGCTGTCCAGCCGCTGCAGATGCAGCCCCCCCGCCAACTTCAACCTACTAGTATCACAACAAGTACTTTCGTTGCAGCAAGCTTCAACGGTGACGTTTGTCCTCGGTTTTTTGCCCGCCAAATCTGACAATCTAGACATCATCGGAGGCAACATGATGTTCGGACGGCAAGCGCGCCGTACAAAATTTCTTGGCAATCGTTTCTAGAGGGGGGTATTGGGGTGAACCAACAGAAGTTGAAATGCGGACGTCAGTACTACAACGGGGAAAATCCTACTTCGGGTGTCGGAGTATTTGAGAAATCGGCAAGTTTCCGCAAGAAGTATGGTGTCTCTCTGCCGTTTTTAGATTTAGCTACACCAGCAGCCGGGATCTCACAGCGCGCCTCGCCGAGGGCCTTGCCTCCTGACCTACTTACGTACGGACGATAGGGTACTTCCAACCGTCATCACGATGTTTGCCTCACGCGCTTGGCATCCCTCGCCCCCCAAGTGCTTTGCTGTGAGGTGCCCTACCATTGGTCCCTCGACATCTCACTTCAGCAGCATGCGCTTCCTCTAAACACGCGACCACACACACCGCCGCCGTTCTCCCTCTCCCGTGCGAATCTACCCGATCCCCGTTCCAAAAGGAGCAGGTCAGCGCGCGAGAGCACCGACCCTAGCGGTACGTGCGACCGGTGCCGCCGTAAGAACCACCACCAGCGCGCTCCTCTTCTCCGCTCTTCGCATGGTGCTGGAGGATCGTGTCGGGGGTCGGGGGTGGCTGGGGTCGGTTCGAGAGCTGCAGAGCGTGTGCTTCGATGCCTGCAAGGAGTGCCGCAAGGTCGTGCCTGTACGTCTCCGTGTGTCGGACTCAACCCCAGGCCACCTCTGGAGGAAGGAAACAAAGGCAGACAAGGCAATGGCAGAAACAACGGCTGTGGCAGTGGCCGAGCTAGAACTTGGCGGCAGCGGCGGCGGCGGCGGCGGCGGCGGATGTGGTGGTAGGAGGAGCGTCATTGAAAGCTATGGTAGCGGTAGCAGCGGCAGCGACTGCTACGGTAGCGATAGCAGCGGTGACGGTGGTTTCGACCTCGACGGCGCCCCCGGCAGCGAAGTTGACAGCGAGGACGCCGACGCTAGCGATGTGGACGGTAGCGAATGCAGCTGGAGTCTCCCCTCCTTGTGGGAAAGGGAGGCAGCGATAGAGACCAGGAGAGAATCGATCCCTTCCCCGTACTCTCCACCGGGCAGAGACGTCCCACCTCTCAGGATCACGGGCATGTTGTGGGAGCGCAGCACGCTGGCAAAGGCTTCCTTTGGCCGTCCCGAGCTGCCGGAGGCGGCCTTCAGGGCTGCGGTGATCGAGCCCTTGCACGGGGCGGCCTGCACGACTACGCTAAAGCGGATCACCCTCAGCTCGAAGAACTCCAACCTTCCCACGACGACGGTGATGCTTGACGCGAAAGACGGCGAAATAAACTGGCCGCCTTCGCTCGAAGAGCTGACCTTCGGCGAGCATTTCAACGCCCCCATCAACCAGGTCGCTTGGCCGGACGGGCTCCAGCAACTCTCGTTCGGGAGGTCCTTCAACCAACCCATCGCCGGAGTGTCGTTGCCGCCTTCGCTCCAGCAGCTCAAGTTCGGGCTCGCCTTCGACCAACCGATCGACGGGGTCGGGTGGCCCCCCCGCCTCAGGCGACTCACCTTCGGCGCGCGGTTCAACCGCCACCTGGTCAGCCTGCCGTCCACGCTAGAGCAGCTCACGTTCGGGTTCTTCTTCGACAACCGCTCGGTGTCGGGCGCGGTCTGGCCCTCAACGCTGAGGGTCCTGACGTTCGGCCACGACTTCGACACCGACATAATCGGCGTGACGTTTCCGGCGTCGCTGCAGTGCCTCACATTCGGCTTCTGCTTCAACCGCCCCGTCAGCCGCGACGGCGTGGGGGTAGCGTTCCCGGCGTCCCTGCAGCAGCTGTCGTTCGGGGCCTGCTTCAACCAGCCGGTGGACGACGTCGTGTGGCCGGCGTCCCTGCGGCGGCTGGCGTTCGGGTTCGCCTTCAGGCAGAGCATGGATGGGTGGGCTTGGCCGGCGGGCCTCACCAACCTCTCGGTCAGTCGTTGGTGCTCGCTCTCCAGGATCGACGTGCCGACCGGGGTGCAGCTCGAGCTCACCTGACAACGGGAGGAAGGAAGACGATGACTCTCTTGAATTCGTTCGTCCTTTCGTCCGTATCGTATGTCGTATGAGTTGTGTTGTGAAATTTCTTTCATCTGGTATGCATACTACCTGGTACGTTGTCTTTTGCCAAGATGAGGGAGAAATACGCACAGGGTTTCTGTAGTGAATGTCTCGTAGAGGGAGATTTCGTATTTGTTTTGGCGGTTATTTGTTGTTGTGGTAGTTGGTAGATCACTCTGCCTGTTGTTGTTGATGTATTCACGTGGTAACATCGAGGTGTCTCCCTTCCTTTCAGCGTCTTGAAGGTGCGAGTGGAAGAGTCACGTCTGAAGTGGCCGGGGGGATAGACGTCCTAGTATTTAAATCGGTGCCACGATTATCGTGACGACATATACTAGTCTACATCGAAATGTATTCGAGTGTGCAACCGGTTAGAATTCGACTGTACAATACCTCCAGCTTTTACGATCACAGGTGAATCCCCGCATTGGCGGTGATGGTTAGTGCTTGGTATTGCAGAGAGTCCCATGTTGCTCCCACACCGAGATTTTCTCGAAAGCCAGTGGGGGGGGGGGGGAGACACGGGTGTTCTTGCTTTAGAATATGTCGTAGGTCGGCAGGGCTTCGTGTATTGCGCTTGACGTAGCGGATAGTCGTTACCGAGAATCGCTCCGGGATGCGCCATTGAGCACCACATGGTGTAGAAACTCGGAACGGCAACGGTATATAATAGATGTAGGATGATCTTGCTACGCAATACTTCGAAGTGTAAAGTAGCATGGATAAAATCTTGGAGCTGAATCCATGTCTCAAGAGATTGTATGATAGATAAAGAGATATCTCGCGGCAGTCAGAGTTGTTTCTGGAACATGGAGATGCTGGGGCTTTTGCCTTGTAGGTCAGTAGAGAGGGGTTGTAGCGTAAGTTCAGGAGCGAACGTGAGAAATCGTAAGAGAGACGATGTTGAGCTGCTGTACATTGTAGGCAGGCTTGGCTTTGTTGGACCTGAAGGAGGAAGATGTCGAGATGTTGAGCAGGCTGTGCTCTGTTGAAGTTGAACAGCGAAGATGTTGAGGGAGGTGGTGAGTAGGCTTTATCTTCGTTCTGGGTGTAATGATAAATTCTACACCAGTTGTCACAGGTACCCGGATGTCGTGTGCGGAATTCGGTGGAAGATTGCCGGTGAAGCACGATGAAGGATTACTCAGGCTTTATCTTCGTTCGGGGTGTAATGATTGATTCGACACCGGTGGTCACAAGTACCCGGATGTCGTATGCGGCATTTGGTGGAAGATTCCCGGTGAAGCACGATGAAGGATGGCATATAACGAAGCGGTCGAGCAAGCCGCGCGACTGGCCGCCATGAGGAGCACGACTGACCAATATGAAGTAATGAACACAAAGGTGCGCGCGTGTGTTTGTATCTTTCACTACTGTAGCTTCGACCGCGCCAACTGACTGACCGAGGAACATATTCGATATACTCGTAGCATAGCACGCGGGTGGTATATTGCGTATACATATGCGGGTATTGCAGTGACGAACTACGGAGGAACAAGAAGTTTCTTGATGTTTTCCTTGGGAGTGTGGTAGATTGGTGGAGATTCATGAAGATTCGTTTTGGGTGTTTGAGCGTTAGCGTGACTTGATACCGTGGTGGTTTGACGAGCACGAGCACGCCCCGATTAATACAACACGTTTTACAACACGCTTTTCAACACGTCTGCACGACTTTACCTACCCCTACGGCCCGTCATGGCCGAGCTGCTCTACACTCCCATCACACACAACTGAGCCACCCGAATTATCGATCAGAACAGGCGTCAGTCTTCGAGCGGGACAGTAAAAATGGAACACACGTGTCTGTTCCGCGGCCCCGCCCGAGAGGGATATGCATGTATCTAGCTACACTGTGGTGTCTCCGCGTTTTGTTGCTGGCTCAATACGTACCATCCTACTGTGTTCACTGCCCCCTTCGATGATGTGCCTACCATTTTCGGCGGTTCTCTGCCCTTTCGGCGGCCGTCGTGTGGAACGTTGGAAGTTTTGTTCTCTTACACACTGCCTTCTCTTTTTCCATTTACCCCTCGTCTTCCAGTTGTTCCTCTTACTGCCACGCCCAACCATGCGATTATCGCTGAGGGTGTTGCGCTTTCACTCTGCATTTTTTGCCGAAGAAGTGCAAATTTTGCCCACAACAAGCGAGGACGGGCCAGGGAAGGCCAGGGAACGTCACCATCCCTGCCAGCGAACGGAGTCCGCTATTTTCACTTGCACCTCGAAGAGTTGAAGACACGAAAATGCGAATTCATTAAAAAAATCGTAGGATGAGATGATATCCACGCACCCTTATGAAGACAGACGGCGAGTGTTCATCGCCGGATCTCGTGTTTCGAAAGCTGGACGACCCCAATCCACACCCTGTACGTGAAGTAAGGGCTCGTAACAATACCTCGGTCTATATCATGGGCGAAACCGCATGAATCATGTACGCGATGATTCATAGGAGTACGTATGTCTTGTTGGCCCGAACGTACACGCCGGGGAACGGAAAGGAGAATGAATCCACTGGCAATCCTTGTGACTCTGCGCCATCGGGCATCAGGAGTACGGGGAGGGGGAGGGGGGGGAGGTTGTACTCAAAACAGAGGGAAAAAGAAAAAACGGTAACCTGGTTGCCGAGCTCACGAAGTGAACTGACTTGTTTGACAACGTTGCCAAGCGACGAAAACCTAATCCCGATGGCAAACACCGATGGGGGGGCTTGTAGNCGGGGAGGGGGAGGGGGGGGAGGTTGTACTCAAAACAGAGGGAAAAAGAAAAAACGGTAACCTGGTTGCCGAGCTCACGAAGTGAACTGACTTGTTTGACAACGTTGCCAAGCGACGAAAACCTAATCCCGATGGCAAACACCGATGGGGGGGCTTGTAGTACAACATCGTTGCCAAGCGAAGAAAACCCAACCCCGATGGCAAACACCGGGGGGCGGCCGCTTGTTTTACAACGTCGTTGTTGCCAAGCGACGAAAACCCAACCCCGATGGTGAACACCGGGGGGGACGAGTACGGGGGTGGGGGGGTGGGGGGGAGTACTGACGAAAATTCATGCCCAAACCTTTCGACCTTTGACCTGGCATCCCTACAATGCCCGGACGAGGCGCTATGCCGGTTTTCCGCCGGTCCAGGACACGAATCACGAGGGTGAACAAAAAGCTGCCAGCATCCTACAGGGGGAGGGGGGGGGGGGGGGNNNNGGGGGGGGGGGGGGGGGGGGGGGGGGGGGGGGGGGGGGGGGGGGGGGGGGGGGGGGGCTCAACCACTGCGCATGTGCCACAGTTCCAACAGATGAGACAAAGCTTCCAGACACCCGCGAGACCCACGAAGAAGGTCTCCGCATTCGGAATGTTCCGGGACGCAGCGGCAATTGGAGCACACCGGGAGAACAATCAGAACAGGTAGAAGGGCTCACACCCTGCCCAAGAGGAACGAAGAACCTCTATGGTTTTCGGAAAGACGCGAATAAGCTCGCCTTACCACCGCGCTCTCCACAAACATTGTTAAATCATCGGGAGGTTTTCAGACAGCCAGGGCACGCGGGCGGTGCGGCGCGGGAGGAGAAAGCGTGGCTGCCGCACGCAGAAAAGTCACGTCTCAAGGCTTAAAAACAAACACGGATCACGCGTAGCGCGTAGCGGGTACACAAGCAACACACACACACACACACACACACACACACACTGGATTTCGAAAAGCATCCACACACGCACGTACCCGGCCATGAACGGCACTCTTTGCCATCAGCGGCGTGCCCGTTCCTAACCTGTGACGCACCTACGTGCCCGAGCTCAGGGCGCGATACATCCGCATTTTTCGGGTATCGAAACTAACGATCAACCTGTGCTGTTGAACGTATTGCTCTTTCATATGCCTGAACGATAGCCACTCCCGAAACACAGGAAATAGTCCCCAGACTCCCTTGACAGGAACATAATTTGCCCGTGGTTTCATCCTGAAACTTCGTGCCAGGCGTTTCGTGGCCTCCTATCCCTACCCCTCCTCCTCCTCCTGCTTCATCTCATTTCTCGCCCTTGCCGGTCCACCGCGACCACCTCTCCCAGTGCGCACCCCCTCTCCAGCACGCTTGGCTCCGTCACGACCACCTCTCCCCTTACCCATCGCCCCACCCACGCGGGCCTCCGTCACGGGCACGGGTAGCTGCCGAACCGCTCCCACCATCAGCAAAAGCACCGCCGGCACCACCAACACCGTCACTAGCACCACCACCAGCTTCCGCGCTCCCCGCTTCCGCGCTCTGCCTCAACGCGGAGAGACCAACGTCCGGCAGTATCCTCTTCATCCACCGGGGCCTCCCGTCCTCCCCGTACCGCACGCGCCACGGGCGGGACTCCGGTTTCTTGCCCCGCTTGACGGTGCTCTCTAGCCCTCGAGCCGACGCCTCCTTGGCGAAGGGGTTGAGGAAGGCCCCCGCCCGGTGGAGCACGAGGGCGAGCTCGGCGTCACGGTGCCGCGGGTCTTCTTGTTCTGCGGCTTCGCCGCTGCGTCCGTCGTCGTGGTGGTCGTCTGCTGCTGGCGCTGATGCTGCAGCTGCTGTTCCTGCTGCTCCTGTCGCCGATGGTGATGTTGCTGTATCTGCTGCTGCTGCTGCTGCTGCTGCTTCTCCTGCTGCTGCTTCTCCTGCTGCTGCTGATCCTACTGCTGCCGCTGCGGACGTTGCTGTGGATGATGATGCTGATGATGATGATGATGCTGTCATTGCCGCTGCTGGAGGAGGGGGGGGCAGCGGTGGAGGCGGGGGGGGGGGGGGNGGGGGGGGGGGGGGGGGGGGGGGGCGAAGGGCCCCCCCCCCCACGATGGCGAAGGGCCCTACCGGCCGCCGGTCGAGGGGCTCCGTGGGTATGGGCGTCGGCGTGGCCTTCTTTTTCCACAAAGCCTGGGGGGATATGTAGAACGGAAGAGATTTTCAAGCGGGTAGGCGTGAGGTTTCAAGGTCAAGCCAGCACCACCAACATGCAAGCGAAGCAAGAACGCACAAAGTTGACGTGAAAGGAGACGTGTAAACAAGCGCGGTTTGCGACGGAAGGAGACACGCACGCATGCAGACGCGCTAGAAGTACCACGTGCAACTAGGCAAGCAAAGCAAAGTGAATTTCTTGCTCGCCGTTCCGCCCTGTCAGTGAGTGAGTGAGTGAACATTGTTTCATCTGTTCACTCGCATGCGTTGCAAAATGCCTAAAAAGCGGCGGAGACAAACGTTGCTTGTGAAAAGACAGTCCAGAGGCGGCTGTTGAAGCGCCCGGGAACCCAACGCACTCGCGCAACAACGCCTCCTCCTCCTAAAAAAATCATTCTTGCAAATAAGGGTTCTTTCCCCAGCTCTAGTGGAAAGTTTGGGAGGGGCAGAAAGGCGGAACGTGACGCCTTGTGTCAGTGGAAGCAAAAAAAAAAAACTTGCTCCTGGTACCGTACCCAGGCGCTTTGCTAAACGTGCAGTGAATCGAACACCGTAAGGTGGGCGCCGATAACGAGGGAGAACCAAGCAGAACTGATACGCCAAGCTGGACCGAAACCTGACGGAGAGATCGAGATACTTTGTGTATAGAACAAGTAGAACCGACACACAACGTTCACCCGAAATGTAAAGGAGGAAATCGAGCTACCATCTTGATGTACACGGCGTTTTTCTTGGCCGGCGAACTATTAATAGCCCACTTTCTCCTCGGCGAAGTATGCCTTGATCACATGCATTTAGGACGCCCCGTTGACATTGCCGTTGCCGAAGGGAAGCAGACTGCACGGCAACAAAAAACAACGACTAATACCACAGGGTGAGGGATAAGCCCACTGCACGACAACGCGACAGGAAACATGAGGTGCTGACGAGCGCGTGCGACCACCCCTCCTCCTATTCCTGCCCCCCAATCTCACTTCTGTGCCGCGCCGTAGAGCAAAGCGAATTTTCTTCTCTTCCACTCTCATTGTGCTCGTCAAACTGAACAATAAAACACAAAAAGAACAGCAGAGAGGGAGAGAGATGAAGAAAGAGAGGGCGAGAGAGGGGGGGGGGGGGGGGGGGGGGGGGGGGGGGGGGGGGGGGGGGGAGGGAGGAGGGAGAGAGGCAGAGAGAGAGGAAGAGAGACAGACAGACAGAAAGAGAGACAAAGAGACAGAGAGAAAGAGAGGCAGACAGACAGAAGAGACAGAGACAGACAGGTAGACAGACAGACAGACAGACAGAGCGATGTCCACTTGAGTTCTCCCACGCGAATGACACATGCGCTCAACGCTTCTTGTGGTCGCTGTTTCAGGTCAGGTTTGCCCAATGGTCGGCCCGCTAAAACTGCGCTCATCGAGTCTTTTCCGTAAGGTGCGGAGCGATGGCTTCCCCCTAGACCAATTTTCAAAGCTCCGTTGTTCCACAACCAAGGGAATGCGGAAAGTGCCCGATACGTCTAAGGAAAGCCGGCGCCAAGATTATTCCAAAACCACCGTTTTTGGTGTAGGCATAAGCTTGGTTGAAGGGTGATCGAGTTCTGAAAACTGGTTGAAGGGGGTGCCATCTCTCCGCCTCCTATGCATACGAAGGGCGATTTGAAACATTTCAAACAGCTGCGCAATGCTTGCGTACACGCTGAGCCCGCCACGGTTGATTTCGAAAGCACACACCAGCAAACCAGAGAGCTTGGGCGCGGAAGTGTTAGAGCGAGCCTGGATTGGTAGTCCCCGAGTCTGTCAAAGAAGAGGAATTATCGCCCATGATTTCACCCTCCTATGCGGTCTGTGAGAAGAACACTTTCGCCGAAGGGGACAAGTTTCGACGCCTTGACTTCTGCAGGAATAGATTTGTCATACCTGAAACCAAAACCAAAACTTGTCCTCATAACACCCAAAAATGTGAAACCCAACACAGAACAACACGCGCCTACAGATAAATTATCTAATCATTGTCTCTCAGTTATTGATTGTTCTGGAGAAATGCGCGTCACTCACCGTCCGCTCCGCCTAGGCCTGTCTAGCCGAACCGGCATGACTCGTCGGTCGATAGAATAGTCGCTCTCCCTGCCGAACACCCCCTTGCGGCTAATCGCGTTCCTCATCCCTCGCTCCTCGATACGGTCCTGCCGCTCCGAGATAGAGACGCCCATGATCGACCTCCGCTCTTCTGTCCCGATCCCGCCTCCTGGATACAACGGAAAAATTGAAACCGCGCACGCGTGTTTTTTGCTGCCGCAAGAGAGCGCGTCCCCGAACGCGTGATAGTTGGTTGATCCTGACCGACGTCTTGTTGTAGGAGAAAAACAAGGGGCTGCCCTCAAGTGCCGTAAGGGGGGGGGGGGGGGGG